ATTCGGTGCAATTGGTGAAAGCCTTGGTCTTTTTTTTGATTTCAAAGCCAATGGAAGAGAGAATTATCCTTCGCCAATGTGTATTAGTTGTAACTCTATCCAAGTTCTGTCAGATCATATTTGGCTATTCTATCTATCTTTTGATCATCTTAAAGAGCTTAAAGAATGGAAGCATGAATCCTTTAGCAACATTGAGTTGTCATTTCGTTCTTTCCAGCCAGGAGTAAAGGTGAAGAATTGTGGTGTCTGTTTGTTATCTTCAGTTGATATTACACCACGACCATCTTCTGCCCATTTTATTGTTACAAGCAAAGAAGCAGCTTCTTCATTTAAAGCTTATTTAGCTTTTTCTTCGTGGTACCATCAATGGAAGGCCAATGTTTTCCCTGGCATCAGAGTCGAAGATCGAGCCCGGAGATTCGTTGTCCCTGTCATGAAGGAACTAGAGAAAGTAATGACAATTAGATCAAGACTCTTTGAGGCCATTGAAGAATCAGGGCTGTCAATAATTATATTTGCAAGAGATTGTGCTTCTTTAACTTGGTGCTTTGAAGAACTTGTCAAGATTGTCGGATTCATGGATGAGATGAGATCGGACACTGTGTTTCCAGTTTCTTGTGATGTCGAACAATCAAAGACAGATGATCAAACAGAGAGTTACACAATTGTCTTTGATAAGAATGAAGAAAATTCCAGGGAAAACGAGGAGAAGGTACAAAGATGGTTGGATATTCTCAGTCAAGTTGAGATTTCATCTGGATCAAGATCAGTGGAAAGGTATCATTACTTTTATTTTATACCTCGACTTATCAACCACTTCAAGTAAATAAAACTGGGAATACTGAAATATAAGAACTTAATGTCAACAAAGTTGGAAAATTTGTTCTCGTGTTTGGAAAGATATAAAAAAAAATCAGTATTAGATCTATGCTCTTTATAACATTCATTCCATGTATAGGTTTACCATGCAGGGATGGGGACAGGAGTGTCCAGGTCTCAGGTACTTTTTCCAGCTTTCAGCTTTCATGTATAGCTTTGCTTGTGTATCGTTTAAAACACAAGATAAAATCATCTTATTGTTAAAATTGAATTGCTGAATAGACTAAGCTCACTCTAGTCATACAAAGCAATGGTTAATGTACTTGATACAAAGAATAGGAAGCAAACTGAACTATGAAGTACAAAATTCCAAAGTTAGCACAAAAATAAAGAAAAAAAAAATTAGGGATGTATCCCAGTTCAATTGGTTGTGTTACTAGAAATAGGCAATTCTATTGGTTGAGTGACATAATCTATTGATTTTTTTTTTAAATGAAACATTGCGCTACTCACCAATAGTGCAACCTCTAAGAATTAAAATCTCAAAAGTTGTGCTAGGAGTAGCGCGCTCAACCTTTAAATTTTTTGTGCTGGAGGTTTTGATATATATATATATATGATGGGATTTAATCAAGTAACCTGAAAAGGTAGCCTCGCTGGTGTCATAATAACATTCATAGACTTGGCTTTCATGGTAGTAGCTGTCTCTCAAGAACTTTATTTATTATTTATTTCTTAATTTCCTTTTCTCAAGTGATCACTTGAAAAGATAGCTATGTGGTTTGATTGATGTATAATTGTCTTCAAGAACATACCATCGTTTTCAATCTTCATAGCTCAAGCTCAAGTATTCATTGCTGCCCCAAAATGGAAATCGAATTCTTGTACAAATATAGTTTGATAAAAAAAAAGGTTATCTTTGTTCGTTGCTTCTTCATCATCATTGTCATTAAATGCTTCTATCTTGAGTCTTAGATTTTGGAAATGTAAACAAAATTCCAAGATTAATTTTTGTATTGTTATTTCAGGAAGAGTCAAGCAAAGAAGGTGGTCTGTATTCCAGCACCAGCAGCTGCAAACAGCAGGTCTAGTGGAGAAGTAGTTCCATCTGACTTGTGGGCATGGAGAAAATATGGACAAAAACCCATCAAGGGTTCTCCTTATCCAAGGTAAGTAATATATATATATATATATAGTTGATAAGATTACAAAGAACAAACAGCTGGATTTTTTAGTTCTCTATTCTCTCTGACAAATTATATCATTTTCTGGAAAAATGTTTCTTGATTTAATTCTTCTTCTTCTTATTTCCCTTGTGCACTTGAAACGCAATATATTTTTGCATAGTAATGCCCTGAAAAAGTTCTGGTGAACCCAAGTAACGCTTCCCGAGACACCGAGCTCAAACAGTTTGTTGTTTGGTGCATAAACAACATTTTAAGCATTGATTGACTGGTTGTAACTTGCAGTGCTAGTATTGATGAATGTGTATGCACTATTGTTCTTTGAGCTCAACAGCTTCAAATAGTTGCCAATTTACATGCTCAAATGATTGGCAGGAAGTGAATCCAAAACACTGAGTTTCTTAGCATATAATATTAATATTGTTGTGAACTATTAGTGGTTTTCTTGTCATCTTTCTGATCAGTTTTCGGTTTTGAACTTTGATTTTCTTTGAGAAATTATTATTGTGAAAGTGTTAATTATTATTGTGAAAGTGGTCTGTAAATGTTTGGTTAAGAATTGCACTGAATGTTAAAACATATTGTCTTTCCTTCCAGAGATTACTACAGATGCAGCAGCTCTAAGGGTTGCTCAGCAAGGAAGCAAGTAGAGCGGAGCCGAAATGATCCTAACATGTTGGTCATCACCTACACTTCTGAGCATAACCATCCATGGCCAACACAGAGAAATGCACTTGCTGGCTCAACAAGGTCTCAGCCTACAAAGAGCAATGCAGCTTCAAAGAGCTCCACAGGTGCTGAAGCACAAAAAACAGCAAATACAAAGGAAGATCAGAAGGAGAGTAGCAATGATACATCGTCTCCTACCGATATTATTGGTGGTAGCTCAACAGCAAGTGCATCTGTCAAAGAGGAGTCTGATGACATTGAGAAGCAAATGGAGATGGATGATAATGAATTCAGTGAAGGGTTTTCTCAGAGTTACTGTTGGGAAAGACAACTAGTGGTGATTTTTAAATACTCAGATAAGATACTGTTTTTATTTTAAAATAAGAAAAAGATTACAAGCTCTCAAACTCACCCACTCTTTCTCTCTTGCTTTTTCCACACACATTGCAATGCTTTCTTGATATCTATTTGTAGACATGAATGATAGAACAAGAAGAAAAATAAGAGAACATGCAGAATATATTCCACCAGCTCATCTTTCCACTTTTTACTAAAGTAGATGAGTTGTTTCACTTTATTGCTTTAATGGAGTGGGACTACCTAAGATACCTCAAATAGTAATTTTCTAACAGTTAATTTTTATAATTAAGTTTACAACAACAACAAATTTTCCCTGTAACTTTTATTTGTTTTTCAATTAACTTTTTTAGTAAAACTAGATTTGTGATATTTGTTAAGGATACAATCCTTATGGGCTTTATCTAGATTATTAATATTGGGCATATCTTTAACCATCTTTTTGCTTCCTAGCATCTTTAAACTTGTGAAATTTAGATGTTCAAGCCTTAGGTGTCAAAGTCACTCTTCATTATTAGTGATGACACTTAAACATTTTGTTGCAACATATTGGATATTTATAGAAAATATTTTATTCTTGAACATCTTCACATAGACAATTAATCTCTCATTGTAATCTTTAATTGTTAGATTACAATTCTTCATAAAACAAGTGTAACCTTTCTCCGAAAATGGACCTATACTCAGCAAGTTATGTTTAATGGCTGGAACATAATAAACATCTGCAATGTAGCTATGATTGTCATTCTTCAAATGGATTGGGATGTTGCCTTGTTTTTTCACTGGAACTTTTGAGGTGTCTCCAAAAGTGACTTGACCTCTTATAATTTCATCTAAATCTCCAAATAGATCTCGTTGACAACTCATATGATTGCTAGCTCCAGAATCTAAATATCATATATTCTCCTGATTCTCGCCTAGTCCTTGTTAGACTAATAATGGAGTTGGTCCTCTTATGGTGATATTATTATCTACATAGTTGACCTCTCCATCTATCTTTAATGGAGCTTTTCTTCGACATTTAGTATTATAGTGCCCAAATTGATTGCGTCTATAACTCATATGATTTCTCTTGTCATAGTTGTTATAACTACCTCCCTTTCCTCTAGGAGTAAATGTTTGTTGTCCTCGACCTCCTCTAGTTGTATTTGTACCACCTCTTCCTCTGAATTTCATGTGTCAAGATCCTCTTCCTTAGAATCGTTTAAATCCCCCTTGTCTTTGTTGACCGCTTTCTTGAGTGGTATTTTCAATTTTTGAAATCTCCTTGGCCTCCTTGAGAGACAACTTTGATTGTAAGGCATGTTCAATTGCCTTATCTTTTTTTACTAACTTTTGTTTATGAGCTTGTAAAGAACTCATAAGCTCATCCACTATCAATTTGTTCACTTCTTTGGATTCTTCAATAGCGACTATAACAAAATCAAATTTTAGATTTAGGGATCTCAAAATTTTCTCAGTAATTTAAGCATCTGAGAGGGCTGCTCCATTTCTTCCCATCTGATTGACTATCATCATAATTCTTGTGTGATAATCAGAAATAGATTCTGATGACTTTATTTGTAATTATTTAAATTCACCTCACAAAGATTGAAGAAGAATCTTCTTGATTCTGTCAGCACCTTTATATTTTTGTTGGAGAGTCTCCTATATTTCTTTTAATGTTTCTACAGAAGCTATGATCTCAAATGTGGCTTCATCAAAACCTTGATAAATGATAGTCTTTGTTTTATTATCTTTCTTTCTATTAGCTCTTAGGACTTGTTTTTATACCTCTTGTAATGAATCTTCTACTTCTTTAGACTTTGGTTCATCATAATTATATTCCATAATCTTTATACACTCTTGTGAACTATGAAATGCCTTCAATTTGATACATCAATTATCATAGTTGTTTTTGGTCAGCATTGGGATAAGTGTTTGTGCATTTTTTATAGTTCTTTTTTTTTTTTGAATGACTATCTCTCCTTCTAGGAGTTAAATTTGGCAAAACAGACACTGTAGGTGGTTTTTGAATGCCTATAATATTAGGGAACTAGTTTGACCTTGTTGAAAATAGGTCAGAAATAAGGTGAACTAGTTAGAGGAATAATTTTGGATGTCGGGCAATTTGCTGCGGTTGAACCGACAATGTTTTGGGGAATATTCATTTGGCTTGGATTGGCTCGGTTAGAGGTTAAGCTACTTGGCTAGGGTATGGCTAAGGAGCCTCGACGCGACTCACATATGTCGCGTTTGTGGCTAAGTAGTCTTCTTCCTCTGAGTGTGTCGAATGCACGTGGTCTACAATGCTGGTTCTTAAAGAGGTGCGTGTGAGACACCCCTTAATCTAATGAATCTGATTTTTGCACTGATGAGTTCGGCTATATGAACTCTACAACGTGGAATAGTCAAAATGTGTTTTGGAAAATTTTGAAAATTCAAATATATTCTAGAAACTCCTCTGTTTTCTAACAAACAAGGCTCTAATACCAATTGTTGTTGGGAAAAATATTGGTGGTGGTTTTTAAATACTCAGAAGAGATAAACTGTTTTTATTTCAAAATAACAAGAAGATCATAAGCTCTCAAACTCACCCACTTTTTCTCTCTTTTATTTTCCACACACATTGCAATGCTTTCTTGATGTCTATTTAAAGACATGAACGGTAGGACAGGAAGGAAAATCAGAGAACATGTAGAATATATTCCACCAGTTTATCTTTCCACTTTTTACTAAAGTAGATGAGTTGTTTCACTTTGTTGCTTTAATGGAGTGGGACTACCTCATATGGTAATGTTCTAACAACTGGTCCTTATGATTGAGTTTATAGTAACAGTTACAACCATCAATGTCAGGTCAATCTGATCAAGACTTCTTTGCTGAATTGGGAGAGATAAATGTTGACCCTCTTGACTTGTTGTTTCCACAAGGATTCAATGGAGAGGAGCAGAAAGAGAGCAAGGCCTTGGATCCATACAGTATCTTCGACTAGTCTGAGGACACAAGCATTTCATTCGAGATGCGAAGAGGGGGTTTATAACAAGACAGTAAAAGAACAACAATGCCACTTCCCAACTAAAAATAGCCTATTGAGTATTTATGTTGTTGCTGAAACAATGTCATTCTAGGTCTTACTATAAACCCTTGTCTTTCAACTTTGAAATTCCCATGTGGGGAGGTGATTTTTTCTTTCCACTTTCTTCTTCCTTCATTTCTTGTTTTTTACCAAAACAACCAGCAAAATTAGCCAGAGAAAGAAGGGTAAAAAGTCAGTGCTGGTTGATTGGGAGCAGACCTAATAAGCCCCGCATTCCTTTGGGAATATTGGTGGATGGTGCAGCAAATTGTCAACATAATATTTTTGTCAATATTTTTCTCAATTATCACCAACCACCCTCTCCTTTAACAATCACCATCAACCACTTCCAACCACCATTCAACCACCCTCAACCAAGCTGTCAAGGCTCTCCTATAAATAGAGATAAAGAGAGAGCAATGTAAGGAAAGTGTAGTGTAAATGTAGTGAGTGCAAGAGTGTAGAGAAAATAATGCAACTGTGAAAGTGAGAAAGTGCATATTTGAAAGAAACACCGATGTAAAAGTGAAACACCGGGTTTTATGGGATTGTACTGGGTTGAGTTGAGTGTTTGTATCATTCCTTCAATAATATACAATCTGCTGTCTTTGTAGACATACCTGGTTTTGGAGAACCACGTAAACCTGCTTATTTGTATTTTATTTATATTTACTTTCGGTCTAGTATACGTAACAAATAGGACAGAAAGCTATGGAACAAGTAGATACACCACACATGACTGGAATGCTCAGTGAAGAGATTGATACAAGCCGAGACTTGCCCTTTCATCTTTTCAAGTGTAAAAAATTATTCAAGCGCAACCTCCACCCTCTCCTCCCTCCTTTTGGTCAATCATGTGGGCATTCCTTAAATTGAAAAAATATATAGACATACATGCTGCTTTTATTGCATTGATGGGAAATAAAATGGAAGAACAAGACAAGAGTGTGTGTGTATATATTTGTTTGATGATGTTGTTTAGAATTTTTTTTGTTTAGAAATGTATTAAAATAATTTTTTTTTAAAGATCACTCAAGATTTCAATAATAAGTGAAGATATTAGATTAAGCTTAAATTATTTTAAAAAGTTTAATAGACTCGGTTTTAAAATATATTGGTTTATTGTAATCATGATTAGAAAGCCTTCAAATTATGGTTTATAGACCCGGTTTTTAACTCAATTTAATATTCATTTGTGCCAAAATTTGGCACCATTGAATTAAAAAAAAAAAGGTTCAAAGTTTATGCTACTGAGCTAAAATTTCAACAAGCTGCGCTACTCCCAAGGACAGCCACCAATAGTGTATTATTCTTTTAATTTTTTTCACGCATGCTAGTTTGCAAAAAAAAAAAATGTTGTCACGTGTGCTATTTTGTGAATAACTCTAAGAATAATGATCAACTTACGGGAAAAAAAACCAAAAAAAATGATTAGTGTATGTAATTTTCTAGTAATTACACCTTAAAGTCTAGCAATATCTAGGTTTCTTCTTATAAGCACATGACATTAAAAAACGTTAGCACAACTTTTTTTAATGTTATGTACTGTAGACTGCACGACTCTCCTACAATAACGCACTCACATTTCTCATCACTGTACAGATCGTGTTTAGGCTGTTAAAACTTTACATCATAATCACTTGCCCTTTTATCTTAAGCTGACTTAATACATTTCTCCCAATTTCATTTGTAGCATGACAATTTAAAAAATCTAATTATCTTGGATCCGCACTGAAACCCTTACCTGGATGTGGATCCTGATTCATGCATGACTCCATTTCCAACTGTGTGCATTATTTGTCCACAAATAGTAAACTTTAATTTCTAATCGTCATTATTGTGAGTGTACTGAAGTTGATGTGAAGGACTTATTCAAACATGAGAGGAAATTAGTTCTTTACTTGAAGGCTGGTTGGAGTATATCTTTTGTTGCGGATACTGGACCGAAAGCAAACACAAATAAAACACAAACAACAGATTTACATGGTTCCCCAAAATCAGGTACATCCACGGAGGCAACAGATTGTATATTATTGGAGGAATGATACAAACACTCAACTCAAACTAGTACAATCCCACAAAACCTGGTGTTTCACTCTTACACTCGGTGTTTCTCTCAAATCTGCATTTTCTCACTCTCACAGTTCCACTCACCACCCTTTCACCTTTTTGCTCTCACCACACTTTCACTACACTTATTACATTGCTCTCTCTTTATCTCTATTTATAGGAGAGCCTTGGCAACTTGGTTGAGGGTGGTTGAGGGTGGTTGATGGTGGTTGAATGGTGGTTGGAAGTGGTTGATGGTGGTTGTTAAAGGAGAGGGTGGTTGATGGTGGTTGAGAAAAA